TTGTGGATATTTATTTTGAAACTAACAAACCATTTAATTCTAAAGGCAGAAGAGAGCTTTTGATATCATTTAATTTAATTGAGCCATTTCATTTCATTTTTTATTTTTATTTATTTTTTGTATGTATTTTTTAGGGAAGGGTCTACAGAGTGTTCAGGGTCTCACTACTAGATATGACTCATGGTGGTCTGCCTATTTACAGCCTCCCAAGAGCTGGGATTACAGGCGTGCACCACCATGCCCAGTCTCAATTGCCATCTCAGTGCGTCCCGAGGATAGGGCCAGAATGGCAGGCCTGGGAATTGAACCCCCGGTCTCTGCACCTGCTTGCAGGTGCTTTAATCTGCTGAGCCATTTGGCCGGCCCTAATTGACCCATTTTAGAGAAGCAATTTTGGAAAACGAGAAAAGAAAAATGACCTTTTCATTAATTAGGGGCCAGGACACATTCCAAGCCTTTTTATTTGATGCTGCTTGACTTTTGCTACTTGCTCTATCATGAAGGAAGATTTTTAAATGGTCCAGTATTTCCTATAGTAAAGAGGGTACCTATTGCAGTTGTCTCACCAGCAGCACAATTTCTTTTAAAAAAGATAATTCTTAAGGTAGAGGAGAAACCCTAGTTTGGGAGAGTACTTTGTGCAATGACATAACATCCAAATAGGAAAAATTAATGTGGGACACAGATTTTAATATGCTCCTGGTTATTCAGCTCTTACACTGATCTTGGGTTGTATTACAATATCATAGTACATTATTTTTTAAAGTTTCTATAGTTTTCTAGAGGTTTTAGTTAAATGAGATTAAGTTTAATGAATATACATTTCACCTGCAAGTGGTGTTAAATTTTTCATATAAGAAGCTAAGATTAATTTTAATATCTGAAAAGGATGGACTATACTCATCCCAGGTTTGCTTCCCGAGGAGTCTGAAGGCCCACTCCAGGCCCTACACTGCCCAAGCAGCGCTTACTCTGCGAGTACTGGATCTCAAAGCCGCCTCCTTGCTGGCCTTCATCGGTCCTCAGTTTCAGCAGCATGCTGTCTCCGCTAGAGCGGAGGTCAGGTGGGATCCTGTCCCCGCAAAACTTGTTGAGCAAATGAGAGCTGGTACCTGGGCCATCGTAGACCTTTAACAAAACATTTTACAGGTAAGACGGCTATGGCTATAAGTGCTATCTACAGGATTCTGGAGGCAAGAGGTAGAGAAGATACAGATATCTAACAAAAACAGCGCTGAAATAAAATACATTTAAAAATTATACTGAAATGCCTGTAAACTCCGTCTATAAATTCAGACAGTTTAGCCACAAATGTATATGGTAGTTAAGTATGTAAGCTAGGTTGAAGTTTGAACATTGAAAGTGAAAGCCTGGCACAGTTTGAGTCCATGGCTGATATCAACTGTCCCCTTTCTTTTTGATTCCCAAGTTTATAATTAGTGAAATTTTAATACATTTTAATATCCTTCATATAAATACACATGTTATGTACACACTGTGTATATTCTATGACAATTATGAATTGTTGGTGTTGTAAAACATCCTAGTTGTATGTTTTTAATTATATTTTCTAACTCATCGAAAGTGTCTCTTAAATTGTTATTTTTATGCATATGTAGAACCTATGTAGAATATGCATGTAATAAGTTTGATAACCCTTTTATGGATATTTTAATGCTAATAGTTAATATCTTAACAGTTCATATCAAACTATTTTAAGTACTTTGTGTATTAAGACATTCATTACACAGTATACTTAGAAGGTTATCATTTTTATCAAATTTCTTCTAAAATTTCTATTTAGTTTAAATTTAATATGTGGAAGTTCTGCTTAAATGCCCCTTCATGAATTCAAAAATATAGAGTAATGCACTATGTGTGTGAGATGTGAGTAGCGGATACACAACAGAAACATTCTACATACAGCCAGATAATCCAAGGAGCAGTTGGGATGATATTCCAAGTGGAAGTCTTTGAAGGTCAATGTAAATGGGCTCCCATGGCTGGCTTTCAGCCACCAGTAGCACTCAGAGCTGTGGTAGTAAGGCATCGGGTAGTTGGGAGATGCAAATACGCCTGAGGAGGTGGTAAGGTTGCCCCCACAACCTACAGAAGAGACAAATGGAATATTGGACACCTTTTCTTTCTAGGAAAAGCAAGTCTGCCTATATCAAACTAATGTTACAGTGCTTTTCTAAAAATCAGGTTGCAAAGGAAAACTGCATCATGAAAGAGTAGTTGCTTTGATCCAGTTCTATAATCATATTAATGATCACTTTTTCTAATCAAGATGTTCAGCCTGATGAACTATGTCAACAAGCTAGAACTTTCCTCCTTTCTCTTTCAAACTGTATGGATGCTATTAGTTAAAAAATATCATCAACTTCAAGTTCATTACAAAGAATAATGACAACATTACTGGAAAAAAATGGAACAGTGATGATGAACAGGAACTGACAACTCGAAAATCAAGAAACCGATGAATTGGGTTCTCCAGACGGTTCTCTATTCACCTGTTAATGATCCATCCCAGTAAGCTGAAAATCCATATTTTGCTATTATAAAATCACTCTTAAATTTTAACCACAGCTTGTTACTGTGTGAGATGATTACTGGAGGTAGGATTGAGCCACAGTATCTTCCCACAAGTGGTGAATTTTCATAGCCACCATCCCTGTGACAGAATGCAGATATGAAAACTTATTAGGTTATTGATAATATTATTGATAAACATTAAACATAATTTAAACCACATCCAATCAGTTAGCCTCTCTCAAAATCACTTTTAAAAACAACTTCAAGTTTTCAGTTTTTTCTTTATTAAATGGCGTTTGAATAATAAAGAATAAGCAGTATTTATGACTGGCTTGGCATCTTATTACCAGCTAGAAATTGAGAGAATGTGCTTGATCATCACCTCAAAGCCGCTGGCAAGTATCACAAAAAATTCAGAATACAGAAACCATAATTATTAGCAGCATAAACAAATATTGCTCATCTTTACAAAGAAATTTTAATCGAACACAGGAAGCACTGAGCTATACTCCCAGCTCTTTTTTTCCTGTTTCTTTTTTCTCTCTCTCTCTTTTTTTTCTCTCTCTCTTTTGATATAGGGGCTCACTAAGTTGTCCAGCCTAGCCTTGGTCCTGTAATCCTCTTGTGTGAGCCCCTCGCCCCAGCAGCTGCGATTATAGGCATATGTCACTATACTTGGTAAACTTTTTGCCTTCTAAATTCCCTGAAAAATTCACAAAAGTTAATGTATCAATTTGATTATTTGACAAAATGCTAGAAATAATTCTTTCCTTACATGGGGGGGGCCTTAAATCTAGTTTATAATCTGTAGTGTTTTCAAATCAAAATAAGTAAGTAAATAATGTTAACATCCACTGATTACTTGATTATCAATTCAAAATTATGTCATTTTGGTATGATGTAGTATGATTGTGATTTATTACCTTTTTATCATATAATAAATGTTACAAGATAGTATGGGTACAAATGCCTTACTTTATATTATATAATGAATTTTACACTAAGATATTAGAAGGCTCCAGCTTTAAAATCCAAATGAAAACTTCGATTGAGAAACATATCAAAATGAATAGCTTAATTTAATTTGATGTAATGATATGGTAGGATATCAATGTATATATTCGTGTGCCTTTTCTTTGTATGTAGCTCTTATATCACATTCTTTTAGAGTGTCAAGTGATGAAAAAAAAATGCCTAATACTGAAGTTCACAAGCTTTAACTTCCAGTACTAAAAATAAAAAAGCTTTTTGAAAACTTTAAGGTTGCCAGCATTTTTGTGACATAATTATCCTGAATGAGCAGTAAAAAGTCTAGAATTTAAATTGATTTTACATAAAGAAAGTAGATATTCAACAACAAATTAGTAGTTGTACCTTTGCTATCTTTGCCCAAACAAAATCTAGAGTTTATTTTCAAATATTTACAATAAAGTAATTATTTTATTTTTGCGGAACCAGGGATCGAACTCAGACCCTTGCGTTTGCCAAGGAAGTGCTTATTCTACTGAGCCATCTCCTCAGCCCCTAAAGTAATTATTTTAAAATAATGTTTTTTATGTTTGAAGAATACAAAATGGTTTCAAAAGAAGAATTATAAAATGATACAGAATATAATTAAACGAAATAAAAGAAATTTGACAATGATTGTTGTATTGCATGTTGTCTTCTAAATAGTTGTTTAGACTACCAGTATATCTGTAAAATTTATAAAGGAAAAAGTTATAAGAAATTAAAAAGGAGAAGAAAAAAAGCATTAACTGTTCCTTTCAATAGACCAGCAAAAATCAGCGGTACAATTGTCCAAGCTATCCTACATATATACATAGATACATCTCTACCCATTTTTTCTTTTGTTCTTTTCCTCATCCCAGTTTTTCTTTCTCATTGCACAGGTTCTTTCCCTTTCACAGTATCTATTGTATCTTTCAGATTTTATTTACTCTTTCAGGTTCTCACACTATGGAGACAATACAATGTTTGTACATGTGTGTCTGATTTATTACACTATGAGTACAGTCTCTCTCTAGTTGCATTCATTTACCTATAAAAGGCTTGAGTTTATCTTTTTTTATAGCTGAGTAATACTCTGTTGTATAAAAATATCTTTTTTTAATCCATTCCTCAACTGATTGGCATTTGGGTTTTTTCCAAGATTTAGCTATGACAAATTGTTCTGCTATAAACATGGGTGAACATATATCTCTGTGGTATGATGGTTCCAGTGTTTTAGGAAAAATACTCAAGAGGGAAATAGCTGGATTGAATGGGACCACCAATCCTAGCTTTTTCAGGAATCTCCACACTGATTCCCATAGTGGTTGTACCAGTCTGCACTCTGATCAATAGTGGAGAATGGTGCTTCTTTCCCCATAGCAACTCCAGCTGTGGCTATTGGTTGACTTCCATATTACCCCATAATTTCTGGGGTAATATGGAATCTCAGTGTTGCTTTAATTTGCATTTCTTGAGTGACCAACGATTCTGAACAATTTTATGTATTTATTTGCCATTTGTATTTCTTCATTTGTGAAATGTATATTCATCTCAGATGCCCATTTTTGGATTGGGCCTTTGAAATTTGGGGGCCTGATTTTTAAAATTCTTTATAAGTTCTAGATAAAAGTCCTTTATCTGAGGGATAGCCAGCTATATTTTTTTCAGTTCCTGAGTTTTCTTTTTACTCTGTTGGTGATTTTGATTTGCAGAAACTTCGAAAAGATGAGATACCAATTGTTGACTCTTTGAAGCATTTCCCATGCACTTTGTTTTTTAAATTTTTTAATTTTTTCTGTATTTTACGGAAGGATCTACAGGGTGTTCAGGGTCTCACTACTAGATTGGACTCATAGTGATTCTCCTGTTTACAGCCTCCCAAGTGCTGCGATTATAGGCGCACGCCACCATGCCCAGTCTTCCCATGCACTTTGGTTTTTGTTCATAAACTCCTTACCGTACCCCTATGTCTTTAAGATTTCCACATGCTTTCTCCTCCAGAAGATTTAGTGTTTTAGTTTTAATATTTAAGTATTTGATCCTTTTAACTGTGCATGGTGATAGTTTTGTGTCTAATTTCAGCCTTTGGCACGTGGAAAGCCAGTTTTTCTAGCACCATTTATTAAAGAGGCTGTTTTTCTTCCAGTGAACATGTTTGGCCCCTTTGTCAAAGAGAAAGTGGCTGAGTGTGTTTGAAGTTATATCTACACCTTCTAATCTGTTCTATTGATCCTCAGTTCTGTTTTTTTAAATACCATGTTGATTTTATCACAGTAGCTTTGTAGTATAATTTCAAGTCAGGAATTGTGATGCCTCCTGCCTTTCCTTTGTTGCCCAGGTTACTAATCTGGGTCTCTTCTGGTTCCAGATGAACTTTAGAAATGTTTTTCTAGATCTGTGAAGTATACTAATGCAATTGCTATCAGGATTTCACTGAATCTGTGTAACAATTTTGAGAGTATGGCCATTTTCACATTCTTCCTATCCAGGAGCAAGAAATATCTTCTCATTTTCTGAAATGTTCTTTGATCTCTTTTCTCATAGTACTGTAATTTTCACTGTATAAATATTTTTACTTGTTTTGTGGGATTGATTGCTAAGTATTTCATTTGTTTGGATGAATAACTATTTAGTTTTGTGCAACTTTCTCTACGTCATACTTCAAATGATAAATTTTATCTAATAAAGTACACAGCAAGGGGATTCACAAAAAATTTCCATATTCTTCTTCACTCTGTCCAGGGAAGATCATTTATGAAAATAAATAATGAAAATGATCATAATTTAAAAAGATGCTTACCTGATTTCCACATAATCTGCTATGCAGTTTCCACCACTGTCATCTTCCAAGGAGAAATTGGTGAAGTGCAATGCAATCTGTTGGGTAATTTCCACTGTAATCTTATAAATGCATTCATAATTATCAGGATAGTTATTGGGGAAGTTTGGAGATTTAACTGTGCCAGAATTAGTTGTATAGTCTTCCAAGCACACTGTAAAAAGAAACAGACCACAGAAAAGAAAAGAAACAATGTGGTGCAGCATTTATAACACACTCAGCAGTACACACTTCATTAATGTGTGCCAATGGACCTGATTTTTAAGTGTATTCTGGACTATTCAAAGAATTATTTTATTTTGAAACAATATTTTTGTTCCAAAACCTTCAAGGTAAAACACTAAACTATAGTTATATAGTACAAGTCATTACATATATA